CACACACACACACACACACACTCACACATACACACACACACACACACACACACACACACACACACACACACACACACACACACATACACACATTGGTAGACTCGAAACAACTCTTTATCTTTTTATCTCACACAAAACCGGCGCCTGTGGTGTAGCGGTTAGGCCTTTCGCCGTCCCACGAAAGAGACCAAAGTTCAATTCCCTGATGGGCAGAATTTTGATCCAGAATCTCAATCTTTCTGCTGAGATTTTGGGAGGTTGAGATCTTGCATCCCTGTCACCCATGATTAGCCATGGTGAGCAGGGCCCATGCTTACTACCTAAATGATCTAAATAGTGTCAATGGGGGCGTAAAAAGTCTTACATTAAAATTTATAAAATATTATTTTTCCTTTGCTCCCTCCTCTGAGCTCCTGACTCTTTCTGCTGCATTCCTACTGCTACTCCTTGGCTCCTTCTTACTGCTCTCTTTCAGCCACACACCTGATCTTAGGGTAGGAAAGATCTACACCTGGCCTTCTCGGACAAGGCAAGTGGCGCACGTTAAAGATCCCTTGGTGGTCCAAAATCGATGAGAGCAGGCTTCGGCCGACACCTGAGCAAAATTCAAAACTTCCAACCAACTGAAAATATTTATTGTGTACCGCGCGCTCATATGACCTTGTGCAGTTGCGAGCGTCGTAAAACACCATAAAAACAACAAACAACAACAACAACAACAACAAACAAGCTCACAGAACACTCAGGCAAAACTGCTCAGCATATTATAATAAGAAGTCCTTCGATTTCTGAAAAGGTTTTTATTTTTGTTCAAACAACTTAAGAATATCAATTGTCAACACAACAAATCTGGAATCTGGACGGGCCTTTTCCAACATCCTATTAATATTAACGTATAGAATCAAGCACTTGTAGTGGAGGCTGAAGTGATCTGTTTGTTGGGAATGTTGGGACGTTATGCTTGGGGATAGGGAAAGAAAGTGAGAGAGGGAGAGAGAGAGGGGGAGAGGGGTAGGGAGGGAGAGAGAGAAGGTGTGGGAGAAGAAAGAAAAGGAGAGGGTGAGTCGGCGGACGAGACAATGAAAGAGAAGTGTTGAAGGGGTTTGGCATGTCTCTAAAATAAATACTCCGTTCCCCCGTGAGTTCCCATCACCGCGGTACAAAAAGGGAACTTGAACGTCGGAGTACAGGTAAAACAGA